AAGGAGAAAATATTTAAAATGTAGAAATTGTAAAGACATTTTTACAAAAAATTGTTTCGACTTTTTATTTTTTGTTTTAATAATTAGTTTATTACAAACAAAATTAACCTGACAGACTAGTACAGTAAATCCCATCATTGTAAATTTCTGGCAGGCTGATTGAATAAGTGAATAACAAAAGACTCAAAATCCAATATAATGTTTCTATTCAATTAAGACTTCAAATTCTTTCATTGGTAATAATTAAAATATATTAGGGCTGAAACAGTTAATAGGATTAATCATGATTAATCGATAAATGAAATAATCATAAATTAATTTAGCAATCATGACTTTAGCTGACAGAGCAACCTTCAATGATTATACCAAAATTATATAAAAAAACAAATCTATTAAAAACGTGCATTTAACATAAAAAAAATACATTCTGTCAATGTGCTCCACTAAGAACCTTTTCAAGTGGAAACATTTTAGTTTAAACCTGGTTCATTTCTGTAAAAAAATTCTGAGGAACCTTTCACTATCTGAATAATTATAAAAACTAAACTAATTGTTTGTTGCAACCCTAAAATATATCTTTCACATTAAAAGTCAAAATAACATTTTGAATCAATTTTCTAAATTAATATGAAATCAAGCTGTGATGATGTCAGGGTTTGTTTATTTTTCTCTAATTTTCAGTTATCTCAATGAGAAAGGAAAACCAAACAACCCAATTGCTTTGCTGCATCCTGCCTAGACCCCCGAGAAACTCTTTAAACTGATGTTTGATCACAACCTTTGATCTCTAAACCATCTGTAAATAAAGCACTTTCTCATCTTGTCGTTTTACACAAAGATTTGCAGCTTACATCCCGATGTAAAGTTTGTTTTCTGTCCAAGCAACTTCCTTTGGAAATTGCCTCTTATAACCCAGTTTTTCTGCAACAACAAACAGGGCTTTATTTGTTCAGTTCAGTCAAGCAGAGCACTGACACAAACCCCTGCTGTACGTGAGGATGAAATACCACAGCCGCTCCACTGAATTCCTCCATCCATGTACCCACTCCCACTCTACTACAGCTTCTTCTGAGAGTGTGTGTGCACTACTATGGACTCTGTGTCCTGCTCCCACGTGGGGACATCGGGGTGTCCATTTCAACTGGTGAACTGCGTAGTATTTCAAAGGAAAAAGTTCAAATGTCAGGGACTTTTTAATACTGACACAATTGGTTGTTTGAAGAACAAAATATTGGAAATTAAAAACAAAATCAACATAATCTTGTCCATATGAATATGAAAAGTAAAACAAAACTAATATTCCACCTTAGAGGATGGACAGTCTTCTTAGTATGAACGCAACAAATTCTTCCACTCATTGCATCCATGTTAGTTACTGTATAAAGTCAGTTATTCAAGATATCAAGAGGGATGATGATCACAATGTTTTCTTTCATTTAAACTAACTAAAACACAGACATGCTTCACATTAGGCAGTGGGTAGCACTGCTGCCTTGCAGCAAGAAGGTTCTGGGTTTGATTCCCAATCCGAGGTCTTTCTGCATGCTGTTTGCACGTTCTCCCTGAGCATGCGTGGGTTCTCTCCGGGTACTCCGGCTTCCTCCCAAAGTCCAAAAACATGACTGTTAGGTTAATTGGCTTCTTTAGATTCTCCTTAGGTGTGTGTGTGTGTGTGTGTGTGTGTGTGTGTGTGTGTGTGTGTGTGTGTGTGTGTGTGTGTGT